GGGAAAAGGAATAGCATCAGGCAGTTCACACAGGGCCCATTGCTAAGGATTTATGTCAGACTTGTGCTGTAAGAGGATTACTGTGGCTGCTGTGTGGAAAATTAAGGTGGGGGTGGCATATTGCAAGAGTGGAAGCAGGCAGGCCAGCTAGACGACTACTGTCATAATCCAGCTAAGATGATATTGGCTTGGACCAAGGGTCCTGCTGCAGTTGGCAGAGGCAGTCAGCTCCTGGATATATTTAGAAAGGAGAGCCAATTGCCTGTGTGGAGGAGTGGGTTTGAGGAGGAGGATCCAGACTTCTGCTGAGGACATTTTAAGTTGGAGATGCCTAGTTTATATCCATGCCCTGCCATGCAGGCAGATGTAAATCAGGATCTCAGGGACAAAGTTGGGACTAAGAATGGGAGGTGCCGGTGCAGAGAAGGTTCTTAAAGTTTTGGTTGAATTCTAGGGTATATAAGTTGTTAGGGAAGTTAGTATGCTTGTTTTTGAGTTGCTGGGAAGGCATATAAATGATACAAATGCACGGCCACAATATGTATTTTCTCAATAATATTTGGTGAAATGTTCTGGGCATGAGGTTTGACATCTAATTTTTCCTGTAGGAAACTGATAGTCATTGAAGCAGCTTTGATTTGTTTGTGAGTTGTTACATGGGCTTGTCTGGTTCCGCACCTTTAGAGAGTCATTACGAGAACTGAACACTAGGGGGACCCAGTTTCCTTCCTTATGCAACCAGCTGTAGGCTGTGGTCACCCTCCCTTAGGACACGTGCAATATAAACACAAATCTGAAAACAAGGGCCGCTTCTCTTTTCTCAATGCAGTATATACTTATAGCAGTGATCATTTTGCGTGTAACATGTCTGAATTCCTTAAATAGGTCATTTTAAGTAATGTGCGTAACCATTAACATTTTTCTGAGACAGGGTCTCAGTCTTTGCCAAGGCTGTGGTGCAGTGGTGCTATCTGGATTCACTGCAACCTCTGTCTCCTGGGCTTAAGTGATCTTCCCACTTCAGCCTCTGGAGTGGCTGGGACTACAGGCCTGAGCCACCATACCTGGCTAATTTTGGTTTCGCCATGTGGGCCAGGCTGGTCTTGAACTCCTGGGCTCAAGCAATTCACTCATCTTGGGTTCCCAAAGTGCTGGGATTACAGGCATGAGCCACCATACCTGGTCACCATTGAAAGATTTAAAGGCAATGGCTTCTAAACTCTGTTCCCTGTTTGTGAGCTTCATATTTGCCACCTTGTAAAAATAAGGATAATGATTCCTTTTTTATTTCTTTTTTAATTTCAATTTTTTGAGGTGGAGTCTTGCTGTGTCTCCCAGACTGGGGTGCAGTGGTGCAATCTCAACTCACTGTAACCTTCACCTCCCAGGTTCAAGCAATTCTCCTGCCTCAGCCTCCCGAGTAGCTGGAATTACAGGCATGCACTGCCATGCCTGGCTAATTTTTGTATTTTTAGTAGAGCCAGGGTTTCACCATGTGGGCTAGGCTGGTCTTGAACTCCTGACCTCAAGTGATCTGCCCGCCGTGGCCTCTCAAAGTGTTGGGATTACAGGAGTGAGCCACCATGCCCAGCTAATTTTTGTATTTTTAGTAGAGACGGGGTTTCACCATGTTGGCCAGGATGGTCTTGATCTCTCGACCTCGTGATCTGCCCACCTCAGCCTCCCAAAGTGTTGGGATTACAGGCATGAGCCACTGCGCCTGGCCATAGGATCAATTTTCTATTTTATCACCAGGCATTAAGCTAAGGGAAAGGCAGATAAATGCTCAAAAGCTGTATTACATGTTATTGGAGTATAAAATGTATAACTTTGTTAAAAGGTTTGGATACATTTTGCATTCGTTACAGATACACAGGTCTTAAAAGAGTAGATGATCTTAACTCATTTTTATAACTAGAATAATTTCACTTCTGGGAAGAGAAAGTCTACACAAGGTTTGTACTTAAACTTTTTGAAAGTCAACAGGCTTAAAGCAGAATCTGTTTAATCAGGGGAAATGAAAACGTAATTAACAAATGTGTTAGCTATAAGGCTGGGTGTGGTGGCTCATGCCTGCAATCCCAGCACTTTTGGAGGCCTACGCGGGCAGATCACTTGAGGTCAGGACTTCGAGACCAGCCTGGACAACAAGGCAAAATGCTGTCTCTACTAAAAACACAAAAATTAGCTGGCTGTGGTGGTGCATGCCTGTAATCCCAGCTACTTGGGAGGCTGAGGCAGGAGAATCGCTTGAACCCGGGAGGCGGAGGTTGCAGTGAGCTAAGATCCTGCCACTGCACTGCAGTCTGGGTGACAGAGCAAGACTCTGTCTCAAAAAAAAAAAAAAAAGAAAAGTGTTAGCTGCTTGTTCTTTCCTCTTTTGGGGCAGTTATAATCTAAGAATTACTTTGACCACAACAAATCCTTTCCCATGGGTCAGGACTGTTAGTTCTCAGAGTTTTGCTTCTGGTGATACTGACCTGTGCCTGTTACAGATGTGTGGTGAAGAGGCGGGAAGCTGTGGGCCACAGGCCAAATCCAGTCCACTATTATTATTTATTTTCAGTTTGAGAGCTAATGATGTTTTTTTTTTTTTTAACATTTTTATGTGACTAATATAAAAAATTCCTGTATGAAAATCTTGTGAAAGTCACATTTCAGCGTCCATAAATAAAATTCCATTGAAACACTGCCATGTTCATTCATTTATATATTGTCTGTAGCTACTTTTGACCCACAACAGCAGAGTTGACTAGACAGAGGTCTCATGACCTGCAAAGCTTTAAATATTTACGGTCTGGACCTTTACAGAAAAAGTTTGCCAGCCCCTGGCATGTAGAGTTTGTGCTGTTTACTTACAGGTTACAACAGTTTATAGAGTGATTCTGTAACCATGTAGTCTTTATAACTATTTGCCTTTATGACCTTGATAGGCCTACTCTACCATGATATCATTCCATTCATGTATTTCTCATTAATAATTAAATTCCATTACTGCTTTCATTCTTATTTCAATTCTTAGATGAGAATATGCTTCCTTTGATTATACTGTTTAATTTTTATTTCTCTCTCCTGTTATTCATTACTTAATACTTCCCTTGAATTATTTAGTCTTTTTTTAAGGTGCTTTAAAATAATTTGTATGAAAGACTCAACATAAAATAAAATTATCCTGCTTTCACTGACCCAAAAAATAAAAAACATAAAGTTCAGGCCATGCACGGTGACTCATGCCTGTAATCCCAGCACTTAGAGACCGAGGCAGGTGGATCACCTAAGGTTGGAAGTTTGAGGCTAGCCTGGCCAACGTGGTGAAACCTCATCTCTACTAAAAATACACAAAATTAGCTGGGCATGGTGGCGGGCATCTGTAATCCCGGCTACTTGAAAGGCTGAGGCAGAAGAATTATTTGAACCTGGGAGGTGGAGGTTGCAGTGAGCTGAGATTGTGTCATTGTACTCCAGGCTGGGCAGTAAGAGCGAAACTCTGTTACCATAAATAAATTCAGCAGATACTTCTTGGGAAACTGTATCTGTCTCTAGTCGAGTTAAAAGGTTTTGCAAAAGATAAACATTAAAAAATTATTTATTTGGAGTGAATCTTTGGTGAGTTTAATTGCATCAAACACGGAATGCTGTGAGAGTCAATAAGAAAATCTTGTAACAGAAGAAAATCAGTCTCTTTAAATATAAAAGCCATAAATTTATTGCAAATCTAGAAGTACCAGAATGTCACTAATACAGAACAAATCAGCAATCATTTTCCTCCAAACATTTAAAACCTTGATTACTGACATACTGAAATTGGCATACATTTTGTTTTCATGCAGATAACAGAATAGACATGGAGCAGATCCCTCAGAAATAGTTATAAATATTAAATCGTATTGAACATTCATAGTAAAAAATATGTTGTAAAGTGCTGAAGTCATGTAAGTCTGCAAAACTGCCACAAGCTCAAAGTTCTTCTCAAGCAGTGACAAGAGATTTGCTACATCCACCTTGTTTTAGGTATGCCTGTTTTTGACACTCTTTGTCATTTCCTCCCCCACCCTCCCAAAGTTTTAGAGATTGTCCTATTTCTATGGCTGATAAAATGCTATACAAAATGTAGCAGGTGGTGATGAATTATGCCACTTTCATTTCAGTGCAGAGAAATATTCAAGCTTGTGTGTACCTGTAACCAAACTAGGCTTGTTATGTTTTCCCCCTGAGTTGTCATAAATTAACATTAACGATGAATAAAGATGGAGCAGCAAGCATTGACCATCACCTGCAAGGTGAGATTGCGGTAAAATAGGTGAGTAAAAAGTCACCTATTATCCTGACACTTGCCCTCTTTACAGAAAACTGCTAATGTGAGAAATACTATACATGTAGTGTAACTCCAAAAAGAAAAGAAAAGAAAAGAAAAGAAAAAATACAACAAACAATGACCACTTACCCGATACCTCTGGCAACTTAGAACAATCAAGTCAAGTGTTATAGAAGATGTAAATTGCAACTTGTAACTCACTATTACATAAATGTCTCTGTTCCCCCATGTGAAATACAGAAATGCTTCAACAATTAGATGTTTTTTTTTTTAAATCAGAACTGCTTTAACAGTTTAATGAAATATAATTCTGATCAAAAAAGTTCCTCAAGTATTCTTCGATGATAAAACACATTAGTTTTGAAAGCTAAGGCGACTTGCTATCCATTATTTTTTCTGCTTTTAAATGGCACATGTTGCCCTTAATCAAATGGAAGAATCATGACAACTTGGCCTTTTATGAAAGTATTTTTACAAGATAAGACGTATTCTGTGAGGCATTTAAAGGATTGCAGAAAGGAGGTAAAAATGATGTCTCAGATTTTATTTCTTTTGCTTATTTTAATCATCCTCGAATAACTTAATAATAAATAGTGGTTTAAATTAAAGACACGACAGTCACATATTTCTGTATAACTAAAAGCAACAGGAAACACATTTTTAAATGCTGTTTTGTATATTCTGTGCTGAAATACTTCTGGTAAGGACTGGCCATACAAAGAAGTGGTGATCTTCACATTTATAAGTTCAAGTTATAGAGAGACTTAAAATTTGTTTATTCGTAAAATATTTGGTCTTAAACTGTACTTCATTTCCATGTAGTATGTGGAAAATTCAGAGGCTGTTATTTGTTAATGGGAACCTCAGTATTTTACAAATTTTTTAAATGATTGAAGTCTTCTTTTTTTTTTTTTTTTTTTTTTTTTGATTGGCCAATTTCATTTCAATGACCTGGGCTAGATGTTGCTTTATTCAAGATAGTAGTTGATTCAGACAAGACCATAGGAAGGAAGAGAAGAAAAAGAAAATCATTTATCCCATGTGAAAGCTTTTACAACCACTTTGCCAGTTCATGTCACTATTTTAATATCGGAATGTGAACCAAAGAGTCTTTTTACATATCTTTCGTATTGCTACTGAATACAGCCAGATTTATATGCGGAAGAGTGCTTGGTTGTTTTTTTGTTTTGGCTTTAAAAACAAGCAAAAAGGAAAGCTTAAAAAAAAAAAAAGATGTTGGTAGTGCTCTCCACATACACATTCCCTTTAAAATGTAGTTTTGAAAGTAGAGTGGAGGGGTTGGCTCCTTGACCTGCTGTGTTCCCGCTGGGCCCACCCCATCCCTCTCCAGCCGGCACAGTGGCTGTTGTAAGAAACTGTGTCATACTGGCTCCATTTGCACCTGAACTCTGTGCTCATTTTTTGCAAGATCCATTTCCAGAAAGTCTTCAGGTATGTCCTCTAAAGGCTTCCCACGATGGCTCACTACCTTTGTTTCACCTGAATGAGGACGCTGGCATAGTCCCACCTTACACGGTCTCACCAGGGCGAGGCACACAGCAGCCAGGGCCATGCCAGCTGCGCAGGAGTAGAAGGCCCTGCTGTAGATCTTACTGTGGTCCACCAGCAAACCTGGAAGAGAGCATGGCGCCTGTTAGCAGCGTCCTTCCTAGACATAAGCCCTCTCACCCAGGTGACCATCACATTCAGAAGCCTCTCTCTTTCATGGCCTTCCTTGTTTTCTGTTGTGTTTCTAAAGAAAAATGGGTGTTGGCCGGGTACAGTGGCTCAAGCCTGTAATCCCAGCACTTTGGGAGGCTGAGGTGGGCGGATCACAATGTCAGGAGTTCGAAACCAGCCTGGCCAATATGGTGAAAACCTGTCTCTACTAAAAATACAAAAATTAGCTGGGCATGGTGGTGCATGCCTGTACGCTCAACTACTCAGGAGGTTGAGGCAGGAGAATCGCTTGAACCTGGAGGCAGAGGTTACAGTGAGCTGAGATCATGCCACTGCACTAGGTGACAGAGCAAAGACTCCATCTCAAAAAAAAAAAAAAAAGAAAAAGAAAAAGAAAAATGGGTGTTAAAGGCAGAAATCTTTGCTAGACTGGAGAGGAGAAAGAGACAAACAATATGCTTGTTCTTCTTGGGCTAAGTCTGTCCTACCAGAGGATCTGAAACCTGGGACATTTAGATGCATGCTTATTTAAAAAGGTCATATTCTTCAGTAGGAAGGAACTGTATTGTTTTCACTTGAGTTCACTTTAGGTATTATTTTTTTGAGATGGAGTTTTATTCTGGTCGCCCCGGCTGGAGTGCAATGGTGCAATCTCGGCTCACTGCAACCTCTGCCTTCCGGGTTCAAGTGATTCTCTCACCTCAGCCTCCCAAATAGCTGGGATTACAGGTGCCTGCCACCATGCCTGGCTACTTTTTGTATTTTTGGTAGAGAAGGGGTTTTGCCATGTTGGTCAGGCTGGTCTGGAATTCCTGACCTCAAGTGATCCACCCGCCTCGGCCTCCCAAAGTGTTGAGATTACAGACATGAGCCATTGCACTTGGCCCACTTTAGGTATCTTTTAACAGGGGGTAAGATTTCTAATCACAAACACTTTAAAAACCTATTTGGGATCTAAGATATGAAACATACCTATGTCCCTCCTACAAGGAAATATTCTGTACAAATCAATTAGGTATTTACAGAATGCTGCGATCAATCCCCAGATACCTTTCTTAAGAAGGGAAGATGACTTACAGAAGCCCAATTCCAAAAGTCAGGTGGGCAATGAAGGTGATAAATCCATGAGTTCCTGTCTAGCATGCGAGAAGGCAAGGTGATAGGAAAGGCCTGCACCAATCTGGACTACAGGCACAGCTTCCAGTCTTGATTCGACCACTAATTTACCATATGAGCTTTGACTTAAATTCTTTGGCCTTCAGTTTCCCCATATTTAAATTAAGAGGGCTGGTTCAGGTAATCCCTAATTCCTGACAGCTCTAAAATTCAATGGAAGTATAAAATAGCAGTAAGTTTTTATATGGCTTCAACGGGAAGCTAGCACAATTCCTAAGGGAAAGTAGACAAGCATTTGTATTTTGTGTATTTAAATTACCTGCAAGGGGCGGTCCAGCCAGTCCTGATATGCTCTGAATGAAGATGTAGACCCCAGCTGCAGACGACATCTTCTCAATGCCCACGACATCGTCTTCAGCAAGCAGTGGAATGTGGGTTCCTCCTATTGTTCCAACCATAAACCCAAAAAATATGCTACAGGACATTAGACCCCAGAATTCAGTAGCAAAAGTAAAGGCAAACAGAGACACAGTCAGTAAGATGACGCAGATGAGCTCAATGTAAATCTTGCGAATGGGCTCTCTGTTGAGGACAAAACCAGCTCCTATCCTCCCGAAAACTTCTGCGATGGCCATCGTAGATAATAAAAAAGCAGCGCGGTCCTGGTCGATGCCCAGACTAATGCCCAAAGGAATGATGTACAAGGAAGGTGCGAAGAATCCCAGTGTTGCAAAGAGACCAAATAATGCATAACAAATAAAACTTTTCTCTTTCAAAATGGAGAAGTCTAACAGCGGGGCTTTCTTTTCACTTGGCTTGGGGCTGGCCTTCACCAGGACCTGTTGCATGTCAGCCTTCAGCTCCAGTTCTGTGTTAGTGTGGCTAGGCACATTTTTAGGTGAGGTAGTTAGTTCTACTCCTGAGTCAATGGAGTCTATTGAGGTTCGTGTTTTCTCATTTTCAAGCATATACTGTGCTTCTTTCCGATTTTCCTGGACGACTACTTTTGGTGACTCTGGTCCTCTGATGATGATTGGTCTGAGCAGTGCTCCGAAGACGACAATGTTTAACTGTAGCAGGCCCACGAAGAGGAGGCTGTATCTCCAGCCAATGTTCTCCTTCAGAGCCATGATTGCTTGAATAGGCAGGAGTGAGGAAGAAATAAAATCTAAGGTCAATAATGGACTCAAGACCCAGGAGAAACCATCAAGAAGAAATATGGATCTAGATTTCATTATAAGTTTTGTGGAAATTTACTATACTCAGTAGTATGAATGTACTCAATCTGTTTTTTTGTTTTTTGAGATGGATTCTTGCTCTGTTGCCCAAGCTAGAGTGCAGTGGTGTGATCTTGGCTCACTGCAACTTCTACCTCCTGGGTTCCAGCAATTCTTCTCAGCCTCCTAAGTAGCTGGGATTATAGGCATGTGTCACCATGCCTAGCTGTTTTTTATGTTTTAAGTAGAGACAAGATTTTGCCATGTTGGCCAGGCTGGACTCCAACTCCTGACCTCAGGTGATCCACCCACCTCAGCCTCCCAAAGTGCTGGGATTAGAGGTGTGGGCCACCAAGCCTGGCCAAAGATTTTGTTTCGAGATGATCTACACACAGATAAGAAGGCTGTCTTGGGAGAAGTTTTCAATTAGCAATACTTGCACCTCGGATAAACCTCACTGGCCATGATACTGCCACTGCGCAAAGTAGAAGGCTGTCTGTATTAGCATAATCTAAATACACATTGAATGTAGCTCTTTTGAAAAAGGAGAGGACATGACAGGTGTAAACAGTTGCAAATCATTAGATTATTCTGGAATGCATGTGTCCAGAAAGCCCTACCATTGCAGATGTGCCCAGTTAGGAATTCAAACCTATTATGAAGGTGGTCTGAATTCCTAAAGTGTGGGTTAGGGAGGACAGATCCTAAAAATGAGCTGGAGAAGAGATGCTAAATAACCTCTCCCTATGCATACGCTTAAAGTCATCCATACTGTTGTCAAAAGTTGCTGTAGCAAGACCACCTGAGTGGGGTCCCTCATCACATTAATACGGTCTTAGACCATTGTAGTACACTCACCTGGTGCAAAAGCAAACACAGCGAAACATTCTCCTGTGGAAGCAACTGCAGTGACGATGGAACGTCTTTTGCCAAAATATTGTGACAGGATGGTTACAGTTGGGAGAAAACTAAAGCAGTATCCCAAACCTGTGGAGGAAAAGTCACAAAAGCCAGTGAGACCCACACACTGCCAGAGACTGGAAGGAAGCATTCAGAGATCTGGGATTGCCGCTTTTGCTTTTGAATCTATGTTCTGGGAGCGAAATAATTCATTCTGCACAAAGGTGATGTTGCAAAGAAAAATGGGCTCCATTAAAGGTCTGAATAAACTGCAGTGATTGTTTCGGGATACTAAAAGGATAAAAACTTTTTTCTCAAATATATATAATTCACAATGGATGAAATTATTATTGCATGAAATTTTTTATAAGATTTGTATCTAGAAAGAAATAAGTCATATGCGCAGATACACAGGAAAAATTTAGTCTGCAAATCTTAACAACTGTGTGTGTGTATCTATTATCTATGAGGAATATATGGCCTCCATGTGCTGTATATTTCACTTTATTTTTTTTTACACACAGGGTCTCGCTCTGTTGCCCAGGCTGGAGTGCAGTGGTATGATCACAGCTCACTGGAGCCTTGACCTCCCAGGCTCAAGTGATCCTCCCACCTCAGCCTCCAAAGTAGTTGGGATCACAGGCACACACCACAATACCTAGCTAGTCTTTTAGTTTTTGTAGAGAAGGGGTCTCCCTATGTTGCCCAGGTTAGTCTCAAACTCCTGGGCTCAAGCAATCCTCCTGTCTCAGCCTTCCAAAGTGCTGGAATTACAGGTGTGACCCACCGTGATGGCTACTCTTTTTAAATGGAAAGAGGTTTTCTTAGGCTCCCAAGAATAAGTCTAGCATGTTGCACTTCCCCTTCAGCCCTGGATACTTAGACACTGATCTGAGAAATACTGGCTACAGAAATTCATCTTACTTTGTAAAAGTGACATCTTTTGGCTGCAAATACAGCAAAAGAGAAGTTATCATCATCATTGGTGAAGAGCAAACAAAAACTCTTGGGCACTTGAGAATAGGTTCCCAGGTCCCCTGAAGTCCATATTGCTCAGTTCAAAACTACTGATCTGAGACACTGTTCATGTTAAAGAAAAAAAAAAGCAAGAGAAAGAAATATAGTTTGGCTTTAATTTCCTCCTTCCCCTTCCTTGTTCTTCAAACTAAGAACTAGTTCTAGAGAACTTCTGAGCCAAAGAGGAACACTTACCAGAGATGATGCCGATGGCGACATACATATGAGAAACTTCTTGTGAGAAGGAGGCGGCCACCATCCCAGTGCTGACAAGCAGACCCCCCAGCATCACCACCAGACGGTGTCCAAAACAGTTGCTCAGGACTGTGGCGAGGGGAGCTGCCGAGAAAGAACAGAAAGTGGTATTTTAACAAACAGAGGCTCTAGGGTTACTTCCATACATAAGACTCCTTCCTCTATGTCTTGCGTATGGAGAGATGATGTCAAATATAAATACAGCTGGGCGTGGTGGCTCATACCTGTAATCCCAGCACGTTGGGAGGCTGAGGAGGAGGATCACTGGAGCCCAGGAGTTTGAGACCAGCCTAGGCAACATGGTGAAACCCTGTCTCTACAAAAAATACAAAACTTAGCCAGGCATGGTGGTGAGCACCTGTAGTTGTAGCTACTCAGGAGGCAGAGGTGGGAGGATTGCTTGAGCCCTGGAAGCAGAGGATACAGTGAGCCAAGATTGCACCACTGCACTCCATACTGGGTGACAGAGTGAGACCCTGTCTCAAGAAAAAAACAAAGCCAAACCATAATACATTTCATGCAAAGTCAGTGCAGGAATTATTTTATTATTTGTTCAAATTCGACACGATTTGTCAGGCTCCTGAAAGAAAGCCAGAGTAACAGTGTAAAACTTGTATCTATATTTTTAGATGACTCTGACTCACCATGAGCATCTATAAAATTAGATATGTATTTATGTTATTCTATGATAAAAATTGGTTTTCCTATGATTGCTTGAATCATTATTTTTTCTCTACTCTAATGCTTTGGATTCTTTTTCAAAAGCTCCATTTGGGGTCAGATTCTAGTTAGTTTCTTTACAGGATGAAAGAATGTGAATACTCAGTTGTGCACTCCTGAGGGAGAATTGCTATGGGATAATTGAAAATGAATCATCATTTGCTTAGCTTCTATAAGCTGTATCCCCTGGGACATTTAAATCTGGCAAATTGGGCCAGGCTCGGTGGCTCATGCCTATAATCCCAGCACGCTGGGAGGCCGAGGCGGGTAGATCACGAGGTCAAGAGATCCAGACCATCCTGGTCAACATGGTAAAACCCCGTCTCTACTAAAAATACAAAAATTAACTGGGCATGGTGGCTCGCACCTGTAGTCCCAGCTACTCGGGAGGCTGAGGCAGGAGAATTGCTTGAACCCAGGAGGAAGAGGTTGTGGTGAGCCGAGATCGCGCCATTGCACTCCAGCCTGGGCAATAAGAGCGAAACTCTGTTTCAAAAAAAAAAAAAAAAAGTCTGGCAAATTCGTTTCCTAGTTATAGGTTACTTAATATTAACTTGAGAACACTGACATAAGTGAGCCATTGAGAGTTGGGTCAAAGAATAATATGATAGAAGAGGAAGTGGGAAAAAAGGATTCCATTTTTTGGTGTTAGTCCGTGTGTATCTACCATGTTAACTATTAGAATACAAAGTAATCTTGGATGTAGCTCATAATAAAAGCATACTCATCGTTTTGAGCCAGGATGTTGGCTCAAAGCATTAACAACTAGAATAATAGCATTTGGAAGAATTATCTTCTGGTATAATAGTATTAAGTGGAAATTTTGTATTGACTACATTTTTATTTTTGGTTATAAAAGGCCTAAAACTTAAGCTTTGGGATTTTCTTTTTATTTAGATTGCCAAATATAACGTTTTAGTCCTAATTCATTTAAATTATCTTTCTAAGAAGGTAATTAAGTTTTCCACAATTTAAAAATTAAGTTATCGTCATACTTACTTAAAAAAAATTTTTTTTGAGATGGAGTTTCTCTCTTGTTGCCCAGGCTGGAGTGCAATGGCACCATCTTGGCTCACTGGAACCTCTGCCTCCCAAGTTCAAGCGATTCTCCTGCCTCAGCCTCCCGAAGAGCTGGGACTACAGGCACCTGCCACCATGCCTGGCTAATTTTTGTATCTTTAGTAGAGATGGGGTTTCACCATGTTGACCAGGCTGATCTCAAACTTCTGACCTTGTGATCCGCCCACTTCAGCCTCCCAAAGTGCTGGGATTACAGGCGTGAGCCACCACTCCTGGCTGCAACTTTTCAAGTGATTCTCATGTAGCTGGGACTACAGGTGCGAGTCACCATGCCTGGCTAATTTTTGTTATTTTCAGTAGAGATGGGGTTTTGCCATGTTGGCCAGCCTGGTCTTGAACTCCTGACCTCAAGTGATCCACCCACCTCAGCCTCCCAAAGTCCTGGGATTACAGGTGTGAGCCACCATGCCCAGGCATCAGCAACTTTCTGATATTGCTTCTTAGACAGTGACTATATCCTTACCTCCTCACAAAAGGGGGTTGACTGCTCTTCTCAAAGGAATCTACAGAATCCTAAGAGAGTGCAGACAGCAGATGTTTAATACATGTGTGTTAAATTGAAGGCTGTCATGGCTGGCAAGTAAGGCTTTTTCCTTCAGTGCCTTTTATTTGTTGCCAATCCTCAATGCTCTGAAACCCCTGTTAGTTGAGGCTAGGAAGGACCAACTATCATGTAAGGGAATGAATGCATCAATCACACCAACTACCATTACCTAGGTAGGCAAATTAAAAAGGGTCTGCACTTTTAGGTAGGCTGAGAGATGTACTAACCTGAAAAGGTTAAGACAAACACACAGATTGAGATTATCCATGAGATTCTGCTGTTGGATTCATTAAAACTGTCCATTAAGTCATTAAAGAAGACACCAAATGTCTTGATGATTCCATAGGTGAAGACCTCAATGAAGAAAAATGAAACAGCTACCGCCCAGCCCCATCCTCCATCAGGCACTTGAGTATACACGTTGGCTTTGGAACAAAGCTTTAATTTATTTTGGGTCATTCTTAATCTGAAATAAAAAGTCAAAAAGCAGTTCAGATCAGCAATAGCATGAAGGTTGATGATTCTCATACTCTTTAGCAAACATGACAGATAAGAACTGCTTACCCCATTTCTTAGGTTGTTGAATCTAGCTTATCTATCTTATCTCTCTCTCTCTCTCTCTCTCTCTTTTCTAAGACAAAGTCTTGCTCTGCCACCCAGGCTAGAGTGCAGTGGCACAATCTCAGCTCACTGCAACCTCTACCTCCCGGATTCAAGTGATTCTCCTGCCTTAGCCTCCCAAGTAGCTGGGAGTACAGGTGTGTACCACCATGCCTGGCTAATTTTTTTTGTTTTTTTTGAGACGGAGTCTCGCTCTGTTGCCAGGCTGCAGTGCAGTTGCATGATCTCAGCCCACTGCAACCACTGCCTCCTGGGTTCAAGCAATTCTCCTACTTCAGCCTCCTAAGTAGCTGGGATTACAGGCGCCCGCCACCATGCCCCACTAATTTTTGTATTTTTAGTAGAGATGGGGGTTTCACTATGTTGGCCAGTCTGGTCTTGAACTCCTGACCTCAAGGGATCCACCCGCCTTGGCCTCCCAAAGTGCTGAGATTATAGGTGTGAGCCACCACACCCGACTGGTTGTTGAATATTTCAATCATGTACAAGTAGTATAAAGCCTCTGGATAATTTTATGCATATATACGTATACACAAATCTTGGTATTACACATGGGATCCCCTAAAAAGAAAGTTAAATGTGAAAGACAAATAGACATGAAGAACCGGGGCAGAATATTTAGAAGCATATTGGAGGACACTGAATGGCCTCCAGACCAAGTATTAATGCTGACCTTCAAGGAGTCAACTTAGGCAAAAAAAAGATTGCACTGACCATAAGGAATGTTGATCAGAAATAAAGCCTAGAAAATGGAGGCTGATGGGCATGGTGGTGGGCACCTGCAGTCCCAGCTACTCAGGAGGCGGAGGGAGGAGAATCGCTTGAATCCAGGAAGCAGAGGTTGCAGTGAGCTGAGAGTGAGATTCCATCTCAACAACAACAACAACAACAACAACAACAAAAAGAAAATGGAGGCTGAAGAGCAAACATTAGCTGTGCATCCAGCAGCTTCCACCGAGTGTCGTGATACCATATGCATCTCTGCTTGATATCCCTGGACACCGCGATCACCCAGCTAACTCTTCTTCCCCCCATTTCCCACTCAGTAAGCAATATTCTGATTATGATTTGGTGTCCTATGTGGAGGTACCTACACAGACAAGAGTGTCACTATAAATCAAAATGTGGGCATTCTGTCTTCTGGGAGTTTGTGAAGCAGGAGTAATTTCTTCAATGTTGACCACCCCTTGGTGTAGTAGGAATTGAATTTCCAAGTACATGGTGATACTCTAGAATATGGTGTCTAAATAAGGTACTATTATACAAACCGTCTGGGCACCAATTAACTGGGTTACCCCTGACCTCACTGTGCCTCTCCATTCAAACTGCAACAAACATCAGGACAAGCAAACCTGTACCTAAACACCACTAAGAAGACATTGACATTGACATTGGTTTAGCTTAAGTCTTCTGGATTGGTCTCTAGCACATGAATACTGTCTTTTTCAAAGCCTCTGTAATTACATATACTTTGAAACAGTCATGTGTATTTTTAGCCTAACTAAAAATCAGTGATACCTATAATAATCAATGAGTCCATGGTCTTAGAGTTCTTAATGGAAGCCAGCAACCTCAAATTTAAGAATTCTTTACATACGACCCAAAGCAATCTACAGAGTGGATTAATATCAAAATACCAATGATATTCTTCACAGAAATAGAAAACAAAAATCCTAAAATTTGTTTAGAACCACAAAAGATCCTAAAGCCATTCTGAAAAAAAGAACAAAGCTGGAGGCATAATACTAACAGACCTCAAAATATATGACAACACTACAGTAATCAAAACAGCATGGTACTGGCATAAGAACAGGCACACTGACCAAAGGAGCAGAAAAGAGAACACTGAAACTAATCCGTATATCTACAGCCAACTGATTTTTGGCAAAGTGCCAAAGATGTTCATGGGAGGAAGTTTAGTCTCTCCAATAAATGGCAACTTGAAAACTGGTTATCAATACAAAGAATGAAACTAGACCTCCACCTTTCACCCTATACAACAATCAACTCAAAATGGATCAAAGACTTAAATACAAGACCTGAAACTATAAAACTACCAGAAGAAAATATAAGGGAAACACTTTAGGACATTTGAGGAAAGATTTTTATGAATAAGACTGAAAGAACACACACGACAAAAGCAAAAATAAAAAAATGGGATTATATTAAGTTAAACAGATTCTGTACAGCAAAGGAAACATATTAACAGAGTGATACTGGGCAAGGTGGCTCAGGCCTATAATCCCAGCACTTTAGAAGGCCAAGGTGGGTGGATTGCCTGAGCTCAGGAGTTCGAGACCAGCCTGGGCAACATGGTGAGACCCCATCTTTACTGAAAATACAAAAAATTATCCAGGCACGGTGGCACACACCTGTAGTCCCAGCTACTCAGGAAGCTGAGGGACAAGGATCGTTGGAAGCCAGGAGGTGGACGTTGTAGTGAGCTGAGGTCGTGTAGCTTTACTCTAGCCTGGGTTACAGAGGGAGACTCTGTCTCCAAAAATAAAAATAAAATAAAAAAGAGTGAAGGCTGGGCACAGTGGCTCACATCTGTAATCCCAGCACTTTGGGAAGCCAAGGTGGGTGGATCAAGACCAGGAGTTCAAGACCAGCTTGGCCAAGATGGTAAAACCCCGTCTATACTAAAAATACAGAAAATTAGCTGGGCATGGTGGTGGGCATCTGTAATCCCAGCTACTCAAGAGACTGAGGCAGAGAACTGCTTGAACTCAGGAGATAGAGGTTGCAGTGAGCCAAGATCATGCCACTCCACTGCAGTCTGGGCGACAGAGCGAGACTGTGTCTCAAAAAAAAAAAAAAGTAAAAAGACAACCCATAGAAGGATAGAAAATATTTGCAAACTATTCATCTGACGGGATTACTATCCAGAATATACAAGGAACTCAAACATCTTAACAGAAAAAAATAAACACACAACTCCCTAAAAATCTGATTTAAAAATGGGTGGACAATCTGAACAGACATTTCTCAAAAGAAGACATACAAAAGGCCAAAAAATATAAAATGCTCACATCACAAATCATTAAGGAAATGGAAATCAAGACCATTTGGGATGGCTATTATCAGAAGACAAAAGGTAGCAAATGCTGGCAAGGATTCGGAGAAAAGAACTGTTATACAGTTGGTGGGAATATAAACTAGTACAGCCAGTATGCAAACAGTATGGAAGTTCCTCAAAAAACTACAAATAGGGCCGGGCATGGTGGCTCATACCTGTAATCCCGGCACTTTGGGAGGCCAAGGCGGGTGGATCACCTGAGGTCAGGAAGTTGCAACCGGCCTGGCCAACATGGTGAAACCCCATCTCTACTAAAAATACAAAACAAAAAAAAAAAAAAAAAAAAGAAAAAAAAAAATTAGCCGGGCATGATGGCATATGCTTGTAATCCCAGCTACTGGGGAGGCTGAGGCAGGAGAACTGCTTGAACCCAGGAGGCAGAGGTTGCAGTGAGCTGAGACTGTGCCACTGCCCTCCAGCCCGGGTGACAGTGCGAGACTCCATCTCAAAAACAAAAAAAAAAAAAAAAAAAAAAAAAGAAAGAAAGAAAATATTGGGGTGTGGTGGCACATACCTGTAGTCCTAGCAATTTGGGAGGCTGAGATGGGAGAACTGCTTGAGACTGGAAGCTCGAGGTTGCAGTGAGCAGTGACACACCACTCCACTCCGTCTGCGTGACAGAGTAAGACCCTGTCTACATTTCTTTTAAAGTTGGCAGGCATGGTGGCTCATGCATGTAATCCCATCACTTTGGGAGGTTGAGGTGGGTGGATCCCTGGAGACAAGGAGTTCAAGACAAGCCTGGCCAACATGGCAAAACCCTGTCTCTACTAAAAATACAGAAATTAACTGGGCATGGTCGTGCGAGCCTGTAATCCCAGCTACCCAGGAGGCTGAGGCACAAGAATCACTTGAGCCTAGGAGGCGGAGGTTGCAGTGAGCAAAGGTCATACCACTGCACTCCAGCCTGGGCAACAGAGTGAGACTCTGTCTTTAGCAAACAAAAAAAATGAAATAAAAAAAAAGAAGGCAGGGGGGGTGGGGCGAGCCTGTAATCCCAGCACTTTGGGAGGTTGAGGTGGGTGGCTCACTTGAGGTAGTTTGAGACCAGCCTGGCCAATGTGGTAAAACCCAGTCTCTACTAAAAATACAAAAATGAGCGGGGCATGGTGGCACTCGCCTATAATCCCAGCTACTCAGAAGGCTGAGGCAGGAGAATCACTTGAACCTGGGAGGCGGGATTAGAGTGTGAGTCACTGCACCCAGCCTGCTCAGACTTTTTAAATGGCTTTCCTCTTTCTGAAGGATAAAATCCACTCATTAAGGACAGGTTTGGTGACTCACACCTGTAATCCCAGCACTATGGGAGGGTGAGGCAGGTGGATCACCTGAGGTCAGGAGTTTGAGACCAGCCTGCCCAACATGGTGAAGACCCATCTCTACTAAAGATACAAAAATTAGCTGGGCATGGTGGCACATGCCTGTAGTCCCAGGTACTCGGGAGGCTGAGGCAGGAGAATCGCTTGAACCTGGGAGGTGGAGGTTGCAGTGGGAGCAACCTGGGAGCTGAGATTGTGCCACTGCACTCCAGCCTGGGTGAGAGAGCGAGACTTCATTTCAAAAAAAAAAGAAAAAGAAAAAGAAAAAAAATCCGCTCATTAGTCTGACTTTCAACGTTCATTGTAACCTATCTTGGTAGCCTTATTTCTTCTGGTTCTAAGACTTGACTCACCTGCCATGGTCAAAGCCGAGTCCTCCTGGGCCTCTAGTCTCTACCCACCTGGCTGTGGCCATGCCCTCTCCCCACATTGAGACCTTTCTTCCCC